CTGCCCCCTGTGTAGGACCATGGAGTAACAGCTTATTATTCGCTGGTGGTGCTTCTGGCTGCTGGGGGAAAGGGGCGTGTGCCCATGCAGAGAGGCAGAGGTTCAAGGCTGAGTGGGGGTGGGGGTGTTCCCTCTGCTGTGGCCTTGACCAAAGCTCCCAGTTTGATACAACCAAGTCTGATGGGCAGTTTAAGAAGACAGCCAGCAATGGCAAGCTTCGGACCTACCTGCCCAACTTCCAGTTCACACCCTTCAAGCAGGGTAAGCTCTAGCTCTTCCATAGTAGCTGCCACACCCAACTGCAGGCTTCTTGTCTGCCCTGCCCCATTGGCTTTGGCCCCTAGTATCTCCTGTCCCCTACTGTGGCCTCAGCTTCCTTACTGTGAGATAGGGGTGGAGTGCCCCTCAGACATGGGTCACCAGATGCCCATCAGCCTGTACCACTTGGGAGGTGACTTCCATATGTCCCTGAGGCCTCCACCTGCCTACCTCCTGTCTCTCACCTGCCTACTGGCTTTCGTCTGCCTACCCTACAGCTGTGAAGGAAACCTGCACTTGGTTCATGGACAACTACGAGCAGGCCCGGAAGTGAAGCAATGAGGGAGCAAATGTTCAGCTGGCAAAGCTCAGCAGCCCATGGCCTCAGACCTTGTCAGGGGCTAAGGATACTGCCCAGTAGGCGGCCCATATCCCACCCCCTCTGCTGGGGGGTCCAGGCAGCTGGGCAGTAAGGCCCTTTTTCTGTCTGTCCTCAGGGAAACAAGGCCCAGGTGGCCTAGTACCTCCCTCCTTGCCGTCCCTGCCTTAGTCCACTCTAGTTCCTCTGTCCTGAGTCTGGGACCCAATAAAGTACATTTTCATAGCCCTGGCCTCAGCAGCTCTGTGCCCGGCTATCTCTTACAATCAACACTGCCTCCCTAGCCTGACCAGCCCCAGCACTCTGTCCCCGTGCTCAGGCCAGAGCTGCTTGGCCTAGAGGCAGGTGCTGTGCACACCAGGTTGTGTGTGCACTCTTAGTGGGCTGTGAAATGGGAGCAGGGCTCTTCTCTAGTGGTCCCAGGTAGAGACATGGCCACCAGAGCTAGGCTCTGCCTCAGCCCTGAGAACCTTGAGGAAAAAGGCCAGGTTTGGATTTGGACATGTTCTGGGGACTGGTGATTGGGTAACCTCCCTGGAGCCCCAACCTGACTTTGTGGTGGGTCAGTTCCACCCACCAGGGGGGTGAACACTATAGTCTTCCTAGTCTCAGCGGGAAACAGCAAAATCCCAGAGGCTGAGTGTCAGTCCCCAGGCAGTCAAGGTAGCACGGGATATAGACTCAGGCATGGTGGGCTGTGGGAGCTGATGTGCCCAGGGGGAGGTACTATTGACCCCTTGGCTTGTCTCATTGTGGTTCTGGATCATTCACTTGTGGACTCCATTAACCTAGTTCCATTCACCAAAGACACTTGTGTTTTGTCCTTTATGATGATGTGGGGCTGAAGACTACAGGTCCCTCTCACCTTCCCTTAGCCTGGGAACTGAACCATCACTATATCTGGGAGCTTGGAAGAGCAGAGACCCAATTTGCTCCCAGGAGTCTGAGGAAGTGGTTGGTAGGGTTAAAGAATGCAGTGAAGATAGCTGTAGATGTGAAGTGACAGGTGCTACTTATGTAAAGCAGAGACCTAATTTCCAAGGTTGTCAGCTTGGGACTTCTTCCAGCCCCTACAGAACTGAGTACTGCCCACAACCAGAAGGGCTGTCCTAAGCCTTCCGCCACCTGTCCCTTCCCCTAGAAAAGGAAACCCATTATTCCCCATCATCATCTTTCTAAACACTCAGGGTGAACCCCTGGGAGTGTTGTCAGTTGCTCACTTTTCCTCAACCCAACCAACCTAGTACATTTCTTGTAGGCGTCACTTCCAGGTCCTTGTCTCGGTCCAAGAAGCCAATGTTTGTAATCTCAAAGTTATGTTATTGGAATCCCATCAAGTTAATTCCAATCTACCACTTTCAATGCAACCCATGGCAAAAATAAAGACACTAAATTATATTTTCAATCACTGGGGAGTCAAGGGGCTCTAAGTTCAGCCGTGAAGATGACTTCCTGGAACAAAGAGAGTGACCCAGGGCCTCACCTGGTTTTTATTCAGTGGGGGAGTGGCTTGAGGAGCATTGACGGAGAATTGTGGGAAGAAGGTGACCATTGTGAGCTGAGCTAGGTGGGTGGCCTACGTTTACCTCCACCATATGCAGAGAGGATATGCAGAGAAAGCAATCTGCTTTATAATATGCCATAAAGATAGCATCCAATGTTTTAGGGGGGTCTGGTGTTTCAGTTTTGATGTCTTTCAAGCCCCAGGAAGTAATAGCCTCTATCTCGAGGCTCAATTCCAGCTGGCGCCGCAGAGCATTAGCTCTACCATCCTGTCTCGACCCAGGCTCACATTAAAGAGCAGCAGGTATAGGTTACCAGGGATACACGCATGCCACCTTCAAAGACTATCACCAGCACCTCAGCTAGACCAATTACATTGCTTAAGACCAACTGAAGGATAAATAGAAGTCCTAGCCAGCTCTGTACATGACAATATGAGGAAATGGGGTCAGGCTCAGTAAAAATGGAGACAGTTGCTCTTTCAAGGAGAGCTGCTCAGGTGGTCCTCCACAATTTCTTCCTCACCTTCCAGAGATACTTTTTTTTGGCAGAACCAGGGATTGAACTCAGGCTCTTGCACTTGCCAGGGAAGTGCTTATTCCACTGAGCCATCTCCCCAGCCCCCTTCCAGAGATACTTGCCACCAGCACTACCCACGAATCCTACACTTTCACCTCCAGCCTGTCACCTCTTCCCACTGTCCCAAGGAGCCTCTCAGAATAGTCCATAACCTCTGCGCTTCATCTGCTAATGCAGCCATTAGCCTTTCTTGCAGTCCTCTGCATTCCCCCCACTTTTTTGTTTTGTTGGTCTTTTTGAGACGGGGTCTTGCTACACAGTTCAGGCTGGCCTTGAGTTCACTTTGTAGCCCAGGCTGGTCTTAAACTTGCCATGTTCCTCCTACTTCAGCCTCCTGAGCGTTGGGGTTTCAGGCGTGTACCACCATGCCCGTGTAGCTTTCTCCCTCGGGTTTACAACTCTTGCTCCCTACCAGCCTTCTGCAAGCCCAGCTTCCTACCAGAGTCCACCAATCAGGCAGAGAGCTGGGACACCGAGGACGTTGACGCTATCAGGAATAGGTCTGAGCCTGTAGGGTCTGATCCCCAGGCCTGACCTGTCATGCTAGGGCCTAGACGAGTGACAGTGGAACTTGCCTGTCCTGTCCTCAAAAAGATTTGTAGTTGCACAGTTACCATCAGTCTGTACCAAATCAGGAAGGGACGCCCACCACATGTGCACTGATATCTAGGACCAGGAATCAAAGATAGTGGGGGGGGGGCCCGGCCCCTAGCTCAGGCCTTTAAGTGGCTGCTTCCACAAAGCTGTCAGCCTCAGGTTGCTGGAGTTCGAACCTCACAACTCTCCCACTGGCCAAGAGTGCCCTGAAGGCATTCGAGGAACAACAACAACAAAAAAATCCTTATTCCATTTTGGCATTAGGCAGACTGGTGAGAATCTAGGGAGTGTTTGGGCAAGTGTGGTCACCTACAACCTGCAGCCTGGAACACTGAATCCAGCCACGCTTACTGCATAGCCAGAAGGTACACCATGGTGAAGGTCACTTTCAAGACACTCACAGGGGTGCAAAAGGAGGGGGAGCAGTGAGACGTGGAGGCCCTCCTGAGTCGCACAGTCAGAGCGCAGATCCTGACCCGCAAGGCGCTGCAAGCTGCTGCCCAAAGAAAGGAGTGCACCTCTGGGAGATGTATACTTACTCTCTTAGGCCTTTCATTCATCTTGTCAGGACTTACTGTTGGTGGAGCTTGCATTTACAAATACTTCATGCCCAACAGCACCATTTACCATGGAGAGATGTACTTCTTGGATTCTGAGGACCCTGTAAATTCCTTTCCTGATGGAGAGCCTTACTTCCTACCTGTGACGGAGAAGGCTGACATTCGTGAGGATGACAACATTGTCATCATTGATGTGCCTGTTTCTACTTTCTCTGATAGTGATCCTGCAGCGATCATTCATGACTTTGAAAAGGGTATGACTGCTTACCTAGACATGTTCCTGGGGACCTGCTATCTGATGCCCTTGAATACCTCCATTGTTATGCCCCCAAAGAATCTGGTGGAGCTCTTTGGCAATCTTGCAAGGGGAAAATATTTGCTTCCTACTTTTGTGGTTCGTGAAGACCTGGTTGCTGTTGAAGAAATTCGTGATGTTAGTAATCTGGGCACCTTTATTTATCAACTTTGCAAAAACAGAAAATCCTTCCGCCTTCGATGGAGAGACCTCTTGCTAGGTTTCAACGAGCGTGCCATTGATAAGTGCTGGAAGATTAGACACTTCCCCAATGAATTTATTGTTGAGACCAAAATCTGTCAAGAATGAGACAGCAGATGAGAGTATCTTTGGTGATAAGAAGTTGGAGATTTACAGTATGACTTCAGTATTAAAGATGAGATATACAATACCCCCCCAAAAAAAAAGATAGTGTGGGGTCGTTTTCACCCCCCATTTTGTGTCTTCAGTGCTTCTTTCTTTGGAATCCCAACCAGCCCCATCTTGGGCCTGTTTGGGGCGCTCCCTTGTGGAAATACCCCTGCGTTGCTTTAGGAGTGACTCCAGCCACGGGTTTTCCAGAGTGAAACGGGATACTTATGACTACCTCCCTACTCCATGTGACCCTTCCCCTCTGAAAAGTCACGGTCTAACTAATACCGGAGCCTGGAGAGCCCTGCTGCGGCTCCCCTATCACACGCAGCACTGATTCAAGGGCTCCCGCCCTTCGACTCTCCTCTGGACGCCACAAGCCATAAGCTCCACCTACTTGGATTTCTCCACCAATAGATGGTGGTGAACGCTATATACTCAGCCAATGAACAGCGAGGGGTGGGACCCAAGTCTCCGACAGAAGAACCTCCAGCGCAATGGCTGCTGCGGGCGCGTACCCCGGGCGAGTAGGCTTCGTGGGCGCGGGCCGAATGGCAGAGGCCATAGCACAGGGCCTCGTCCGAGCAGGTGGGTGGCGGCGCGCTGGGAGGGTGGGGGGCTCCGCTAGGGGAGGAACACACGTAACAGGCGGGAAGGGCACAGCTGACGCGCGCTGGGTTGGTGCTGTGAACCCGTGGATCCCCTGGGCTGGGGCAGACGACAAAGTCCCCAGGACCCCCACGGTCCCTGCCACCCCACCGCGCAGTTGGTGGCCCTTCCCTCGCTAGTAGGTGGGCCAGGCGCGGCGCGGATCTGCATGGGGTGGCCGGAACTACTGCGGGTTAGCAGCTCGAAGTCTAAGTGAAACGGACTGGTCCCATGGGGCTCAGATGAGGAGAAAAAGGGGCGTCCCCCCCTTTTTTTTAAAAGGTATTCGAAATCAAACTCAGGACCGTGCACTTGCCAGGCAGGCGCTGTGCTGCTGAGCTATATCCTCAGACGTTTCAGATTTGAAAGGTTTAAAACAAAAAAAGTTACACGTCTTTTTTTTGTTTTTAATTGATTACATGTTGAACAAGCACTGGTTTGGATATATTGGTTGAAGAAAATTAAGTTAGTTTCATCTGTATTAGAATATTTATAGTTATGTTTAAAATCATATCTCTGTTGGACAGTGTCGTTGGCTGAGTGCCAGCATATCTGGCTTGACTTGCTGTCTTTTCAGCCTTTGTCAAGTGGACCTTTCTGAACCTCTGATTATTTATTTATTTATTTATTTATTTTTTCCTATTTGTTCATGTGCTCCACTGCAGGTAGTGCACAGCTTTGGGGCCCTTCTGGGCCAGATAAGGCAATCTGTGCATGGTAGGGTGTTTGGCATCCCAGTCGTTCCTCACTAGATACCAGTGGCACATCCAAGGTGCAGCAGAGTGAGTGTCTTCAGATGCTGCCAGGTGTTTGTTGCATGGAGTCAGGAGGGGACCAAAATCATCTTGGGTGAGAACTCCTGCTATACAGAGCAGGAGATATTAATGCTACCTAATACTACTGCACATAGTTAGAAACAGGTGAGAGCTGGAGACCTTTGGCTCTCTGCTTTCAGCATAATTCAAAGTCTAGAGGTCACATTCAAGTGGAAGTGAATTCAATGCAAGTTTCAGGTATCCATATACCTCCCGTGGCTATGCAGACTCATGAGGCCTGTAATTTTTTTTTTTTTTTTTTTTTTTTAGGTGTGAGGGGTTGAGCTGTGTAATTCAGGCTACCCGGTGTAGCCTAGACTGGCCTTAAACTCTTGGCAGTCCTCCCTTAGCCTACTAAGTGCTGGAATTACAGGTGTATGTTCCACCATGGCTGGCATGTATATTGAGTGCTGAGACCACTCGTAAGTATGTGACTGTCACCAGCACATGATTAACTGCTGTGTTCAGGTCATGGTGTATACTTCTTTCATAGATATCTAGCCCAATCTCCCCATCCCCTGCCTTACAAAGGCAGATGATTTCCACGAAGTGGGCACTTAAGCTACCTTTGATACATCAACATACCTTTCAGAGGACCCTTAGAGCCTTCTGTCATGTGCCTTTGTACCCACCATGCACCCTCCAGGCTCAGTGTTTTCTTTGGGGTTCTACTCCTTGGGCAACAAATCTAAGTGCTCCAGGCAGCTCTTCTTTCCTGGAGGCCGGGACTCCTGGGGTCTGTGTCCTCACAGGACCAGGTAAGATGTAGGCCCTTTGTCCAGCAGCAGGTAGGTGGCAGAGACTGCCTATTAGCATTGCATGGATCTGATCATCTGGCCTTATGTGGCTGAATATGCCTGTTTTAAGTTCCTGAAGAGTTTCAGTCCAGCAGGGATCAAGATGGGCCAATCTTGGCTGAGCTTGAGCAGCTAGGCAGGCTTTTCCCTTTTCTTCCATTCCTCACTAGTCCTCTGGCTTTGCTTTTCTCCCCAGGGAAAGTAGAAGCTCAGCAGGTGCTGGCCAGTGCCCCAACAGACAGGAACCTCTGCCACTTCCAGGTGAGTTGCAGGGGAGGGGGACGGGCAGAATGGCCTATTTAGCTGAAGATTTGAGACTGGGCTGGGCTAAGGAAGGAAAAGGAATATGAGGCTGGGAGTAAGTCAAGTTGTGCAAGAACCCAGCAGATACAGGTGAGTGCCTATGTACACAGTGCATGCAGTGCCAGGGCAGGCAAGGATGGCAGGGGCTTTCATTGGGACAGAGAGAGCAGGGAGGTACAGGCTAGGGAATCTGAGAAACAGTGCTCTTCGAATGAGTCTTGGGCATTGGAAACTGGGACGGCGCACATACTTGCAGTGCAAGAGTCCTGAGGGGACCCATGGGGAGTAGGGTGGCCTGTACACAACTGTGATATGGGAGGACACCCCTTATGTAGCCTCTGGTCCTGGTCCCCACACAGGCACTGGGCTGCCAGACAACCCACTCCAACCAGGAGGTGCTGCAGAAGTGTTCGCTGGTCATCTTTGCCACCAAGCCTCAAGTCCTGCCAGCTGTCCTGACAGAGGTGGCCCCTGTGGTCACTGCTGAACACATCTTGGTATCTGTAGCTGCCGGAATCTCTCTGAGCACCCTGGAGGAGGTGGGTGACCTGTGTAGATGAGGCTTTGACCCCAGAATGGGCTCTGCTGGCCAGCCCCAGGTGGTAGATAATCTTCCATACAGGCTGCACAAGTGGCCAGATAGCCCAACTGAATTAAGTGGTTGGGTTTAGGGCTCACTTCGGCCACTGTGCCTAGAAAGGGATGGGAGCCTGTAGCTGGCTGAGGGTCTGCCCAATAGGGCATGACCCCATAGGCTGCTAATTCTGCTCTCTCTCTCTGGCCAGCTATTGCCCCCCAAAACACGAGTGCTCCGGGTGTCACCCAACCTGCCCTGCTTGGTTCAGGAGGGAGCCATGGTGATGGCACGGGGCCTCCACGCTGGAAACAATGAGGCCCAACTCCTGCAGAACTTGCTAGAGGCCTGTGGGCAGTGCGAGGAGGTGCCTGAGGCCTACGTGGACATCCACACTGCCCTTGGTGGCAGTGGTGTGGCCTTCGTGAGTATTGTCTTCCCTATATCCCCAGTAGGCAGGCCTTACGCGGAGAGGCCCATCAAGTTCTGATGATAGCCTTTACCCTCAGAGCCCTGCCATGGGACTTCAAGGGTTTATCCTCAGGCCACCTGTGAGCTCTGCTGTCTCTGGAAACTTCATGCTTTGGTGGACCTTTGAGGCCAGCTTCTCGCAGAGCCTGGGTTCTGACTGCGGCCATGGCTGGGTCCTCAAGGTTCTGAGCCTTCTCCAGGTTGGGAGTTGTGTCCAGGGGGAATGTTAGCTTTTTATTTTTTACTTAAAAAAAAAATCTTTTATTTATTTGGTATAGGGTCTTGCTATGCAGCTCAGCCTTATAGTAATCCTCATGTGTCAGCCTCCCCAGCACTGGGATTACAGATGTGTGTCACTATACCATTTTCAGTGGCCAGCATAGCCAGCATGGCATGTGGTACCAGGAATCGAACCTGGGTCCTTGAGCTTGCCAGGCAGGAACTTAGACCACTGAGCTATCTCCCCAACCCAAGGGCAAGTTAGCTTTTCTTTTTTTTTTTTTTTTTCCCCTTTCTTGATACTAGGGATTGAACCCAGGACTTTTGTATTGACCTGTATACCAGCCCATTTGTATCTTTAAAATCAGGTCTAAGATGCTAACTCACCCAGGCTGGGCTTGAACTTGTGATTCTCTTGCTTCAGCCACCCAGCATTACAGGTGTGTACCACCTTGCCCAGCTGGAATGTTGACCTTTACCCCTCCTCCCCATGCTACTGTTGTAGGTATGCATGTTCTCTGAGGCTTTGGCTGAAGGTGCTGTCAAGATGGGCATGCCCAGCAGCCTGGCCCACCGCATTGCTGCCCAGACCCTGCTGGTGAGTGAAGAGTTCCCTGTGTGAATGTCAGAAAGGTGCAGGCCTGTACCACCTGCCGTGGGCAGGAAGACAGCAAGCCCCGAATGAGGCTGTGTATGGCTGCCCCACCTCTGAGTCACTGCCACTAATGCCCTTCTCTCCAGGGGACAGCCAAGATGCTGCAGCAGGAAGGGCAGCACCCAGCTCAGCTGCGGACAGACGTACTCACACCAGCCGGCACCACTATCTATGGCCTCCATGCCCTGGAGCAGGGTGGGCTGCGAGCAGCTGCCATGAGTGCTGTGGAAGCCGCTACGTGCCGGGCCAAGGAACTCAGCAGGAAGTAGGGCCCAGCCTCCAGAAGAGGCCATCTACTCCTTTCCCAGCCAAAGCCTGCAAATGCTAAGTACCATCCTGCATGGTCTCCGAGTCCCCCCACCCCTGCCCCTTCCCTAAGGACCAGTTCTGGGTCCATCCACATGAATCTCCTCCTCTTATGCAAAGAAATACAGTCCCTCCTGTGCAGGCCTGTTCTCATCACGGAGGTTGCTCAAGCCCTAAAGAGCCCATCATCGTGGGTGATGTTGGTTATGGGTACCTGCAAGTTGGAGCAGTTTGAGGCCATGAGCAGAGCTGCTGACCACAAAAGTGACTGTGCCTGGTCTGCAGTCCAAGTCTTTCCTTGGATTTCCCAGCAGCACTCTGGACTATAGCCCGGGTGCCTCTCATCCCAGCTCTGGAAACAGCCACAGGACACGTGGAGTCTACACAAAAGATGCCATGCTCCTCCATAAAGCCAGTGGCTGTGGAGCTCCCTCACAGGGAGCTGGAGCACCCTGCCAGTCCTCTGAGCAGCAAGCAGGTGGTCTGGTCTTAATATGGCTGAGGAGGCCGCACCCAGGAAGCTATAGCTGTGTCAGCCAGGTCTGTTGCAGTTTTAGGGCATTACCAGGTGGGCACTAGGCAGGTGTAAGAGCTGGTTGAAGTTTGGGGAGCACGGGCTCAGTCAGATGGAAAACTACACACCTGCCTCCAGCTGGATATAGGCTCCCTTCCTTTTTTTTTTTTTTTTTTTTTTTTTTTTGTGGAACCGGGGATTGAACTCAGGCCCTTGCACTTGCCAGGGAAGCGCTTATTCCATTGAGCCATCTCCCCAGCCCCATGGCTCCCTTCCTTCTGTAGACCCTAAGCTCCTGGCACAAGGTCAGGTAAAGCTGGGCCATAACCCATGGGCCTCTGCGGAACTGAACTCTTTTCAGCATGTCCCTTGATAGCAGGTCAGGAACACAGGATTAGGAGAGTAGCAAAGCCATGGAATTGCCTGGGACTCAGGCCAGTTGGTAGGGAGGGTCCAGGCTGGCTGCCCACAGTATTGCTTCTGCAACTGGCACTACCCCAATGCTGTTCTTAGCCTCCCTGGCCATAAAAATCCCAGGGTCCTGCCCTTACCCTCCCTGGCTCCAGAAGAGGCAGCCTTCTGAGCCCATATGCAGGACCACTCCCACCCCCTGCTGTCCCATTGTTTTTTAGGACAGCTCCTATAGAACCATGTGCTAGCTGGGTGATGTTAGGCAAGTTTATCTCATCTACACAAGGGTTAATGGGGCTGGTAAGATGGCTCAGTGGTCTAGGGCACCTACTTAGAACAAGCTAAGCTAAACAAAAGCACAGGGACCGCGGTTCAATCCCCAGCACCACATGCCAGCCAGCCCCGCCCCCTGGTGGGCTGAGCTGGCCACACACACACACACACACACAAAATAAATAAATAAGGGTTAATGACACTATTGGGTCAGAACGGGATGTCTCAGCCCTCATGTACAACTCCTCTACCACACCTGCCACTACCCTGCTCTACTCCCCCCTAAGCAGCAGTTGGTCCCCCTCCCTCCCTCCTCCATCCCCTGCCTTCAACTTCCCACTCTACCCCATTGTTAGATGACTGTTCTCAGTGACTGCTCGGTCAAACCCTGATGATGCCACCTATGAGAAGGGCCTGAGTCCAGTTTACATTCTGGTCTCCTCACCTGTGAAATAAAAATAAAGATGTTTTTACAGCACTAAAGGAGCTAACCTTTGGCCACAGGCTGAGAAGCCCAAGTTCAAGAGCCTAAAATGCACTATCCCAAAACTTCGGGCTCAAAGATATTTCAAAGCTGATAGAGATACACATAATCTGGGCAGCAGAAAGTTCTACACTAGCTGTAGGTCACTGTCACCTTTGTACAGATAAGGACTGCCAGTTCTCCTGCATCTGGATGTCACTTCAGGACATACAAAGCCTGGGCAGGTTGGGGTCCCGGGGTGTGAAGAGGCCTACTACACATAGGAAATCTCTGGACAGCCTGTGGACATCCACACTGATGCAGAAGCCCATCTATCAGAATGATTGAAATTGAGCCATCATCTATTCTCCCTGTGACCAGGGTAGGTCAGATGGAGAGGTAGAAGACTCCTCCATCGCCCAGTCCTGCCTTTGAGCAAGCCTCAGTGGGCCCATTGGCCCAGTTGATGATCATCCAGGACAAAGATACATGTGGGTTACTCAAAGGTCAACTTCAGTGGAAAGAGTTGTGATCATGTTTTCAAGCACTTTAGGCAAACTAAAATTACTGCTTTTCAAAATAGAGGAGAATGTAACCATGGTATCCTCTTAAATAATACTGGCCCAGTTTTATGTCTCCCACCAATATGTAGGGTATTCCCGAGTTACAAAAGACTTAAAGAGGGATACTTATGAAGTTGACATAGTCCACCTTTATTACACAAGTGCCCTGGTCCATCTGAACTCAGCTACAAGCAAGGTTCAGGGTTAGAGGGAGCCCCCTCAACAGCATGAACCCACAAGCCCAAAGTCCTTGTGAAGACATGCTGTTGGGGTGGATCAGCCTCACTCTTGGACACTCAGGCAAGGGCCTGACTGCTAGGCCCCAGGTAGGCTACTTAGAGGCAATTCCCACAGAAGTATTGGGCTCAGGTCCCCAGAGGACCAGCCCCTAGAGAGGGATGCTCCCCATCCTTTTGTACCACATTGTTTGAGCCACAGCCCAGCTGATGCCCATGTGGCCACTCTCCGAAGTGCACAGACCTCTGGGTGGAAGGCTGCCTGTGACCACTGCAGGCCATCCTTTACCCAACTGAAAATAGCAACCGAGTGATGGCTTCAACAGAACCTGTTCTTGGCCATTTTTCTGTGCCTGATGCCCTCATCTCCTCAGCCAAGGAAGCTTGATGACCCTGAGGCAAAGGCCTTGAAGTGCAAGGGCAGCAATCTGCCTCAAGTCTTATCAGAGGCCCTGACCAGAGCTGCTCAGTGAGGACAGCTGCCCACCCTCACCAAGCTTTACAAGGACCAGGGAAAATCCTCCAAGACAACAAATTCAGTTTCCAGCAAGGTGCCTCGTACCTGGCAAGTGGCCAACAGCTGCCAAAAGGAACTGCCACTTCAGCTCTCTAGCTGACTCTCGTTAGCCTAAACCAAAATGCCCAGAGGGCTCAAGGAGGAACAGCAGTGAATAGCAGGCCTGAGCGTATAGCCTTCCTAAGGTGCTCTTGCCACACAGCAGGGGTACACAAATCCTGGAGTGTCCCCATCACTTCAAAGACATTGAGCTGAGCTCAGATATGAGGTGGCTGCAAACCAGTGGCAGAGCTATAAATGGAGTTGTAACATGAGTTTCCAGTGTGACATCCGCGGTCCACTGTAGGGGCCCAGTATTTCAGGGATCCATGGCTGAGCTGCTTACAGGGCCAAGCATCCAGGCTGAGCAGCCTTTTCTACAGCAGGGCTTAGCCACTGGAACCTCTGCCTTGGCACCACAGGAATACGGATGTATCTCAATCTATAAAGATGAAGGCCCTTGTTTGCATCTTTGAGAACTGAACCCAGCCTGTCATGCATGCTAGGCAGGTGCTCTATTTCTGACTTGAACCCCCAGCCCCAAAGTACCTTTTAAGCTTTCTGGTGGGTTTCCCAGCCTAGCAAAATGGCTGGAACAGATCCACTCCCTGTAAGCTAACATCTACCTTGTTTCTAGTGGCCATTAGGGACCCAGGGAAAGGCCAGAGCCTTTCTCAGGAGTGTCCAGATGAAAGGGATGAGAAGTGGAGAGACTAAGTGAGAGGTGTTACTCTTGACACCTCCTACTCCTGTCCCGCCATCTCAGACACTGACACAAGCCTACCTGGCCCAGACCAAAGGAAGGGGCAAAATGGGAAGATGAGATGGGAACCTGATCAGTGAAGCAGCTCTGAAAAGCCAAGCCAAAGGCTGCTACCACGGGCCATCCAGGCTACCTCTGTGCCAAGGCCCAGATATGTAGCCCTCGTGCTCATGAGCAAGGCCCACTTCTCAGAGTTGCACCCCCTCTCCTGGGCTGACTGGAGGTTGTAGGTATAAGGACAATGGATGTCGTTAATTCCAGATGCTTGGGCCAGAGACCTCAGCCATCCCCGACTGGCTTTGCATGGATAGTCCAGATGAACTTCGGCAGGCACAGATAAGAAGCTGCTATCGCAGTCCAGCTAGGTTAGATGTGCATGTATATTTATGGGGCAAGGGGTTTCCAAGGAACTGTTTGTCTCGGATGTAGAAATTGCTTTCAAAAGGTGCCCTCCCCTCTCCCGGCTACCAAGATTATGCACATCCCTTCCCTTCCATGAACACAGATGCAGACTCCACATGCTTACAAACTCCGTGTTTTCAAAACTCGGGACTGTTAGGACATCCGTGGTCAGGACAAGGGGAGAGCATTAGGAGCATGCAGCCTCAGACCTAGCCTCCTGCTGACATGAAGACTTGGGGCGGAATCTCTGCAAAGGCAGCAAGCCTCCCAAGACACATGGGGGGCTCTTGCCCCTAGACCATCAGCAAGATTTTGGACCCAAACTAGAGGGTCAGAATGGTCTAAGAGCTGGATGATGACTTGAACCCTTTCTTTCCTCTTTCAAATGGGCCCACCCAGAAGCAGCTCCTCAGCCACATTCTTGGCAGCATCAGGAAGTCAAAAGTATGTGGGAGGGGCTGGTGAGATGGCTCAGTGGTCTAAAGCACCTACTTAGAACAAGCTTAGCAAAGCCCAGGGACCATGGTTCAATCCCCCAGCACCACATGCCAGCCAGCCCCGCCCCTGGTGGGCTGAGCTGGCCACACACACACACACACACACACACACACACAAAAAAATAAAATTTAAAAAAAAAAAAAGTACGTGGGAAGGTGAGCCAGAAGAGCAGGGGGCTGAGCAGGGGAATGGGACTAAGGCACTATGAATTGTCCCCAGGTTGCTGTCAGTGCTCCCTGGTAGATTGGGAGACTGGCTCTGTTACTAGGGCTAACATGGTCTGTGGCCAATGAGAAACGGGACAAGCTTGTCCTGCCATTGGTCAAACCTCCAAGACCCATATCCAGTTTGCCAACCCCATGTAATAAAAGATCTATTCAGAAAGGAATTTTCTTCAAGAGATTTAACAATCCAAGTGGAACAAAAGCCTGCATCCAGAACCTCAGGAAGTACTGGGCTCCATCCTCTCTTTCCCCACTCCATTGTAAATAGGTCTGGGCTAAGGGCTGGAGGGCAGTTTCCAGACCAAGGGCAAGAGCAGCCAAGACCACCCCACTCTTCTCCTCTCATAGCCTCTTCTGAAGATTCTAAAAACAAATTTAATGTGTTTTTTTTTTTTTTTTAAATGGCTGAGTAGTGTGCTTTCCTACTACAATAATGGGACCAGGTAGCACCAGTACTGCAGACAGAATTGGAGTGTCTCATCCAGTGCACATGACAGGCTGGGGAAATAGGGGGTGTGAGCCCCACAGGGGCCAGGTGAGAACACAGCCAACTGCTCTTGGATAGGTGCTGAGCATGTGCCTAGTGTGCGGAAGGGAACTTCACCTGTGTGTCCTGCCTAGGGAGAAGGATCAGCCAGAGCCTTCCTTCAACAATCCTCCCCAGGAGACTGCAGACCATTGGGGCAGGATGACCCTTTACCAACAGAGCCCAAGCTGGGCTGGGACCCCTGTCCCCTGAACCCATGGGGTGGGCCACCCCAAGAGACTGCAGCAGGAAAAGGTTACTAGGCTGGCATGGTCATACACCATCATTGGTACCTGCTGTGGAAGGCCCAATACCCCCCAGCCTCCGGGCCATGCTGATGAGTGAGCGAAGCTGCACCAACCTCAGTGGTCCCACCTCCCTGGGGTCCTGGCTTTCTAGCCACCGAAGAGCTGTTTCTAGCCCCCAGATGGCCTCCCCTGCAGTGGGCACCAATATCCCTCCATGCTCAGTAGCCTCCTCTTCCTCCTCTCCACCTCCCATGCTAGAGGGCAGACTGGCTGGGGATGGTGGAGCTGCAGGGGCCAGTGCAGGGCCCACCTCCTCTCTGTAGCCATCAGGGAGGCCTCCATCATCATCTAGGTGCAGCCACTCAGCCACCTCTTCAGGTGCGAGGCGCTTGTAAGCCAGTGTTGCCAGATGTGTGAGGTCACTGAGCAACCTGCTGTGCTCTGCAGCTTCCTCAGCTTGGTAGGTTGGCTGCTGCCCAGGTTCAAAGGCAGCCCGCAGGCCCAAAAGCCAACAGCGCTCAATGCTGCCTGCCTGCACCAGGTCCCAGGAGAGGCCTGCCAGGTACAGCATGTCTTTGAGCATGAAGCTGCGCATGAAGTCCAATGGGGAGCCACTAGCACAGGACACTGCCAGCCGAAGCAGCTCTCGCTTGTACAGATGTTTGAAGGCCACCACCACACCCTGTTCCAGAGGCGCAGGGATATGTGTCTGGCTGTTGCCCTTGGATAGGAAGAGCACCCGCACAGCACCATCGGGTGTCTGCAGCTCTTCTGGGGTCCCCAGGGGTTCTGGCCGGCACTGCCTGGGGTTCTCCTCACTCTCTTCCAGAGAGGCCATTCTGGTGGCCCAGCTGGGGCAGGGCGGGTGGGCAACAAGCAGAACTGCCTTCTGCTGCAGGCAGCTTCGACGTAGGTAGCGCTTGACGCCTGGAACGAATTCCTCGAAGAACCAGCCGCGCAGCAGAGGACGGCTAAGCCAGGCGTCAGGGCTATAGCGGTAGGAGGCTGGGAACTTGTCATGGTTGTGGTGGCGCAGGCTGGGCGGGTCGGGCAGCTGTCCGATGACCAAAGGCTTCAGCTTGTGACTGCCAGTCAGGTTGGCAGCTAAGAGCACTGTCACTCTGTCAGCGCGCCAGCTGTAGCCCCCTGTTTCGGGGTCCCTGGAGCTCCGGGGCGCAGCCTGTTCCGGAAGCAGCCTCCAGTAGAGACCAGTGACATTGGCATTGTAGATCTGCTCGTCGCCATAACCGGCCTCGGCAGGGCACAGCGCAGCAGGCGCCCGGTCCAGCAGAGGGCTGGCGTCAGTGGCTTCCGCGGGCTCCGCCTTGACTGGTGGGCTGGGCGTTGGGCCTGATGGGGGATCCACCTCACCATAGATGCGCTGGCTGGAAATCCCATGGCGTTTCTGCCAGCGCCAAAACCAGCCGTGACTGGCCTTGAAGGTGCACTCGGGCCCATAGATCTGGCGCGCGAAGGCCTCGGCCTGCGCCTGGATGAGTGGCCCCGACAGTGGCACGCCATGCCGACGCAACGCGAGAAACCACGAATATACTGCGCGGTCGATCTCCTCCTCGTTGGCCAGCCGCATCTTCTTGCGCTGTGTGCCCACCTCGCCGCCCAGCTGGTCCAGGAACCAGCGCAGCTTGGGCTCGTCTTTGAGCCAGCCGCGCAGCGTGCCTCCGGGCACCCCGAAGTCGCGGCACACACTGGCTTGTCGCTCGCCGCCCTTGACGCGCTCGATGGCCTGCAGCTTGTCCTTGATGGAGTAGGCCTTGCGAAAAGCCATCTTTACCGCTACGCCGGGCCGCGGTACCGGCGCGGGGGGCTGGGGGCGTGCGGCGGCTCCCGGGACCCGCACAGGGGGCCGTGGCGCGTCGGCGGGACGCCCAGGTGGAAAGCGGTGGCCGCACTGTGGAGCCCGGCGCGGGGTTGATCCGGCCGGGAGATCCGCGGGGTACATGGCTAGATCAAGGGGCCGCGGGGTAGCGGGAACCTGTCCGCGGCTCGCACTGGCCGCTCGGGGCGGAGCTGGAGGGCGGGGCCGCCAGGGTTCCTCCCTTTTGTCTCACCAGCCCTGCCAGCGCAGGCGCACTTGTCTCTGCTCCGCCCCGCACCAAAGCGTCTGCGCACTGGTGTCCTGGCGCGGATAATCCGGCGCAAGAGGCCTGTTGGCCCCGCCCCGCTCCTCCGGCTGGCTCCATTTAGCTCACCGTTGGGGGCGTTGGACGGGCTTTGGACCTATTCTCTGCTTCTTGCGGCAACTCTTCTAGTTTAGAGCGGTCGTGAGGTCTTTCCTCACAGTCTTGTGCTTAGCATTTATAGGCTGCATCGCGCTGACAGCCTCGACGTCCAGGAGACGCGAGCTCAAGGCGGCGTCCCCCGCGGCGCCGGGCGTGGTACGCCCCGCTCTATTTCCCCTGTGCGGCGCGGGCGCCCGCCCTTTCCTCCGCAGTCCCGCGCTGTAGGTTCTTCTGGGTTGCTGTGTCCTTGACTGGTGTGTGAGTACCGCGGCCCCGCGTTAGGAGCGCACGTGCTGGAGAGACCCCAGGACCCGGGTTCTGCGCCGTTCGGGCAGTATGACTGGGCGGCGGCGGGCCGGGGCGCGGGGTGTGCAGGAGGCCGCCGGACACGGCCCAGCCTGAGATCCTTACTGCTGTCGCTGGAGCCGACTCCCGTGCTCCGGAGGCCGTAGTGCCTGTCTGGCCCAGCTGTTGCTTGGGCTCATAGTTCTTACTCTTTAGTGCGTACTTATTAAGCATCTACTGAGTTACCAGACTCTAGGGATAGAGAGGCGTCACAAGCACAGGTGCAACCCTCGTGGAACTTAGGTGGCCCATAAGAGTAAAGAATGTGTTGTGATGAGCTGTTTCAAATAAAGTAAGTTCTGGGTATGGATAAGGTGGTCCGGAAGTCTCCTGGGAAGAGGTCTTGAGGGGTTTGATCGCTTGTGCTATTGGGAAGAAATGAGCCCTTTTCAGATGTCCTAAGGAGAAAGAAGCAGAGCAAATGTAGATTCCTGAAATGAAGCCCCTCTCCCCCGCCCCCAGCCCATTAACCCCACCCCCAGTTAAGAACTTTAGGCAGAGGGAGATGAGTCTCCTGCAGTTCTGACTACCCCTTTGTGATACTCTGGGTGTCCGGCCTGTGCTAGGGATGAGGGTTGAGCAGAGAGATACTCTCTTGGATAGGGCAGAAGGAAGATGTGACAGGATCCCCAATGTGTCGCTTGAGAAAAATGCCTTTTCACCAAGAACCTGGGCCCAGCCAAGCTCCTAGACTTAGCTCTTCAGGGGCTCTCTGGGCCCTGAACCAATCCCATGGGGGCAGTAGAATCTCTATGATCTGCTTGGAATAAGAATAAGGAGATCTCTAGGGAGGGTAGGTCCCCTTCCTGGCTTGTGGTGGCCGGTTCAGCATGGACTTCTGCTTCCTTGCCTTGGAGTTAAGGGGTACTAAAGCATCTTCCGGTGGGATCCTGGTGGTGGGGTGTGTCAAAGGGAGCAGTTGGAATGTGTGCAAAAGGACCTCTGGTGCTTTTGCCTGGGATGTGCGCTGGATGGTTTCCTGCCCTGCCTGGAGGAGCCTGATGCAGGATCCAGCCAAGCTGAGTGAGGCTGCAGGGTCTTAGTACAGGTGAGCAAACGTGCTTGACATGGCTTAATGTTTGAAGAGTATATCTGAAGTTGGGCATTATAGCATAAGATTGTAATTCAGGATGCTGGAAAGTTGAAGCAGGAGGACTGCAAGTTTAAGCCCAGCCTGGGCAAAAGACTGTCCCAAAATTTAAAAACAAAACACACTGGGTATGTAGCTCAGTTGGCCAGCTTTATATTCAAATCTCAATACCACACCAAAAAGAAAGAGGATCTCTGGATTGCTGGCATTCATCATTTGTGGACCCTTGTCCTGTACTAGGATTCTGTGGTGACCTATACATATTGGAAGTTGGAGTGAGTTACTCCTGCGAAGGACAGGTGTTGGAACATGCTGTGAGTCTCTAGCCCCTCGCCTCACTGACTTGATGGCATTCTGTGGCCATGTGCACAGTCTTAATTTTCTTCTTACATAAAATGTCACTCCTGACCCCAGCTAGATGTGAGGGCTAGTATAGGTGTTGTTTTAGCCTCCTAGGAAGGGTAAATAAAGCAGGAGTAAAGCAGGGTAAATAAAGTTATTCAGCAGGTCCATGGCTGTGTTGGGCTGGTGGATCAAGGCAAGTTATCTGGGACTGAGACAAATAAAACTGATAAGCCTTGACATTTGAGTCAGAGACTTCTGGGGCTTGCTAAACCTAAGGTGCAGTGGCTTGGGCAGTTATATATGCATCTGGGAGGTATGCTGGACCCTCCTGCTGAAGCACAGATCAGTGTTACTATATAGGGCTGGAATATCAACAGTCAGGAACACAGGTGGACACTAAACATACAGAAAGTTCTAGTGGGCATCATCTGGTCCACAGACTGAGGCCAGGCAAGCCCAGAGGAAGTGCTCCTGAGGTGGGTGCACAGGCTGTGCTGACTGGCAGACCATTTCCCAGCCCACCTTGCATATTTGCACTTCCTTTGGAGACTGAGAAGCCTTTGATGGGGATGCGTAGCTTGGGCACAGGCTGTTTGAGGTACATCCAGGGCATGAAAGTGTGGAGAAAGCCTTTCTAGAAGAGTTCATTTTCACCCTGCATGGAGACCTCTGAGCCCTTGCACTGTAGGAGGCAAAGCTATGCCAGATCATGTTCCCTGACCAGGAGTATTTTTGGCAGGGGGTGCATGTTAGCATAAATCACAAGGGCCCTGGGCCCTTAAGCCACCTAGATGTGCCTGGGCACAGAGACTGCACATTTTTTAGAGCCTGTATCTGCCTCTGCTGAGTGCTGTCTGTACAGGTCCAGGGCTGGATGGCCCCACAAGGCTGTGTTGGGCACCTCTCACAGAACCAGCTGCTCATTGGGCGCTATTTGCCGCTCAGCTGCCTGCATCCCGGGGATGGGTGAGGTCTTGATGGCTGGGTTGTGACAGTGTCTAGGAGTAGAGCAGGGGCTGCTCACGCCACTTCCTCTGAGTCCTCTTCTGATTAAGGATCAAGAAAAAAAGGTTGACCATGTATAGGAATATGGTGTTGGTCTGTTGGGGCTCACAGGACTTGAGAAACTCACTGCTTCCTGCTTTCAGGCTGTTCTTCCCAGGCAGCTGCAGGCTTGCATCCATTATGCTCCAGGGCAGCATTTGACCTCAGATGTCTGGCCTGGACGCAGCCAAGCTGAAGGTCCTATCCTTTATTGCATGGGGGGAAATGAAAATTGGGGAGGACCCTGTCCTGCGAAATCCTTTGTTGCTTTTGCTGGCGCGCTATGGTAGTAGCCCTGCCTACCTAGCCTCTTGATCCGCTAAGGTGGCACCTGCTGAATGAGAGGCCTAGTCCCTCAGAGGGCTTTTGTTATCCTCTAGGTAGGTCTCTAGCATTCTGGGCCAAGGGCCAGTACAGGAGAGGGTCTGAGTCCCCAGGGGGCACATGTGTGTGCTGGCCCACCTTGTCCTAGGACAGGGTGGGAGAGGGTAGTCCTGATGGTGATCCTTACTTGTCCCCCAGGGCCTGCCTGGGCTCAGCAGGACCCCCAAGAGATGTGCTTTAAGGGGTGATAGAGTAACCTTAGGCGTGTAGATTGAGAAGTCACCTGGGATTTTGGTGATAGAAGTCTGTGAAGGTTACCTCCTATACACCACTTCCATAAGCAGCCTGTGGATGGCCGTCCACTGTCCTCAGCTGCCTGAGCTATTGTCTGGCATGACTCATATCTCCTACTACTCTAACCTTGCTGCTTTTCCTTCATGCTCTCCTAGGAAGCCAAAGCAAAAGTAAGTACTCCCGCCTAGTGTATTGTGGCTCCTCTTACCCACGCCAGGGAACCCCTAGCCGGTGCGATGCCTGGCCACCTGTGAGTTGGCCCTGGGTGGGTGGGGGTGTGCTATGTTCTTGAGCAGTCCTGGGTTTGTGCCAGGTGGAGTAGCATGTGGCTCTTTTTCCATGGAGAAGTGGTGCCCTCACATGAAGATATAACCTGGAAAAAAAAAAAAAAAAAAGATATAACCTGAGAAAACAATGGCCTTGCCTTTTGGAGAGCACCGTGGTGGTCGCTTTCTTCCCTGAGCTGCTGCTCCTGCTCTCATGGAGAGCCCCTGGAGCTTGATCTGAGGTCGGCCCAGGACTACCCTTTCTATGGGAGCAGAATAGCTGGTGAGTCCATAGGCGTTTGGTACCACGGAGGCTGTTGGGTAGAAAAGCTGTGCTGCTGTGTTGGCAACAGCGAGTGATGTCACAATGCCCTAGCTTCGGGGCTTCTGCTCCTGCCCCCATCCCTGCCTCTGCCCCAGCAGACTAGCCTTGGTAAGGAAGGGGTGTTCCAGGGGCCTCTTGCTCTGGGCCTCTGTGGCTCTTGGCCCTGGTTCCTTGCTGTGGAGAGGGCTTAACAAGCTGCCCTTAGAGAACCTCAGCTCTCCCTCAGAGGTGGGCTTCGGGATGTGATAGGTAGAGCCTCCCAAAGTCCCCTGCGTGAGTGGGGTTTGGAAATATATGGCTAATACTTTGGGGCTGTGGGAGTAAAAGTTTAGTTTTGTTGGGGCTGAGTATTGGAAAGGGTCCTAGACAGTGGTGTAAATGTTTGCTGTCCAATCACAGGCTGAAGGCTGTCCTCTATCTGGCGAGGTCCCACTCATCCCCAAAGGCCTGGTGGGTCTGCCTTCCTTTATGCTGTATCCTGTGACCCTGCTGAAGCAGCAGGGTGGTAGCACCCTCCACCAGTCAGCTCTTGGGTGCTGTTAGTTGGGTTTGGCCCAAAGGAATCCTCATAGATTCCTATTGAGGCAAGAACCATGGTAGCATTTATTTGTATTAGAGCAGCTCAAACCCTGGCAGAATCTCAATTCTCTTGCCATGTTGCCATACCTGGACATACATGGCAGCAAGGGCAGGGTCCATACCTCCCTTGTGGCTCTA